AGTGCCCCGACGGCTTCGGCTGCTGGAGTAGTGCCTAAAGTGAAGCGCAGAGGTGGGTGTAAGGGTGGACGCGCTTCAGCTGCGAACACCACCTCCCCTCCTCCCCGTTCGACCCGGCCCCGCCTGAGCTCTTCTTCCTTCTTTTCCAGAAGGAAGAATCGTGCCGTCTCGCTACCTGCAGTACACTCGGAAAACTACCAAGAAGGTAATTGTGTGCTGTGCTGCCAGGCTCGGGTGTCGCTCAGCGGAAGGTGGAGATCATCGAATTTTTAGGGGTTGGAAAGGAGCTTAGAGATGATCCAGCCCCAACCCCCTGCCCTAGGCAGGGATACCTCCCCACTAGACCAGTTTGCTCAAGGCTTCATCCAGCCTGGAATGAAACACTGCCAGGGTTGGGGCAGCCACAGCCTCCCTGGGCAGCCTGGGACAGTGTCTCACCACCCTCACAGGGAAAAACCTTTTTCTAATATCCAACCTAAACTTCCCCTCCTTCACTTTGAACCTGTTACCCCTTGTCCTGTCACTGCAGTTCCTAATAATGAGTCCCTCTCTGGCTCCCTGTAGGCCCTTTAGATACCCTGTGAGATGTTGTGTGGCAGCACCACCTCAGCACAAAGTGACTCTGCTGGGGTTGTAAGGGGCTTGTGGTGGGTTCTTAGGTGGGAACTCGGGGCTGAGGTGACCTGCAAAGCAGCAAGATGCTCTGGGATTGTAGTTGGTTGTTGTCAGCTTTCAAATCGAAGATAATAAGTATTGCTGATTATGCTCTGTCTTACCTGGTTTTGATTGTCAGGATACTTCAGGGAACTCCTCTTCATCTCGTTCTACTCTACCATCTTCTGGCTCTAAATCAAGATCGATTCTTTCTCAGAAACGTGAAGCTTCTGCTGGTAGGTTTTACCTGCCTCCCTGGGCAACCTGTCTCACCACCCTCACAGGGAAAAATTCTGCCTAATATCTAACCTAAATTTCCCTTTTTCAAATTATCCCCATTGCCCCTTGTCCTGTCACTCCAGTCCCTAACACAGATCCCTCTGCAGCTTACCTGAAGCTTCTTCAGCTCCTGGCAGGTTGCTCTGAGGTCTCCACACAACCTTCTCCTCTCCACTGATTAACAGTTACCTAATTTTTATTGATCAGTGTTCTGTTTCTTTGAAATCATTACCATAACCCCACCCTTAATTATCACATCTCCTCCCTTCCTTGCGCTTGCAATTAATTGAGGCTCTGGTCTTTGAGGTCTTCTGAGACTGTCTAAAAAAAAGTCTCTCTCCTGCTTTCTGCACAGGGTTTTGAACTGTTCTTTTCCTGTGGCCTCATAATTGCTCTACTTTTTCACTGAGCTTTAATAAACTCAATGTAAGTGACTAGAAATCCCAGTCTTAGTTCTCTTGCAAGAATTGTAAAAGAATCCTCTGGTAAGGCCTCAGCTTGACTTGTAAATTGTGAGGAAATGACACTATTCCTTTTGCACATTTTGAACAGTGAAGTGTTTGAGGGTAGCAGTGAATGACCTTATCTCAAGGTGAGTCAGGGAGTAGAAGTAGACAAGAGATGTGTATAAACCATGTGAAAGTTTGTGTGAGTTGGCCCCACATCACTGAAAGCAGATGCACTAGTGAACCTGTGCAGAACCTCTTCTCTTTCTTTAGACTGAAAACAGCTTTTTTCTGCAGGTGCTGCCCACAGCACGTTAAATCAGAGTGGTTTTGTTAAGGGTGACTTGCAGTCCACTTTTGTGAGTGAAGAAGCAATTGAGAGACCAGACCTTGATCTTTCAGCTATTAAAGGTAAACTTCCATTCATGCTCCATTTCTGCATCTGTTGTTTTTAATGTCTGTGCTGAAACTTGGTGATAAGAAACTGTGGTGTATTCACAGAAGGATTTTGTTAAATAAAGTGAATATTTTGAGTGTATTAAGATCCTTGGGGGTTCAATTAACCTCTCGATTTGTAGGATCTTTTGGGTGCTTTGTGCTTTTTGTTTAAGGTCAAAAATTTAGAGTGAAGTACTCTCAAGTCTTTGGTCCTGTAACAGGTGAGTTATAGGAACAGGGTTATAGGTGGGTTAAGGACTGAAAAGTGTCACATCTGTCTGTAACTGTCACTTAGAGCTAACTGCCCACATGATCCACATCTGCCCATGGCTGTGTCAGAGCCAGACATAAAGCACAGGTCCTCTTTACTGGCACACATCACAATTTTGGAGTTAACTCTGCTTTAAAAACCCTGATGGTTTGTTGACTCACCCTATGTGCTGTGGTACCACAGCAATAACTTTTCTGTTGTCATACAGGTAAAACTGCTGGCAAACAGACTCATTCAGCACCTACTTCCACAGAAAAGACAAAGGTAAGAACCACAGCAGGGCCAAGTCCCACTGCTCTCACTGGTAAGGATATTTGTCTTCAAATTTGTGACATGAAGTTTTCTGTTGATCTTTAATCCTGGTAAGAACCTTGAGGTCCTGGGATGATCTAAAGCCTCCTGGCAGAAGTGAGTTCTGCTGCTGGCAGTGCTTGATTGCTTGATCAGATACCTGGACACTGACCAGAGCTTTGCTTCCATTTGTTGTGGTGCAGAATCTGTTCCCATTCTAACATCTCCTCAAGTGGATTCCTTTTGCATTCCTGTCCATACTTTTCAATTACATCACATGAAGTGTTTTTTGACATCTTTGCTCAGAAAACTAACGTTGATTCATCCTTATTTGAAGTGCCTTATATAGGGATCTCATTCAGTGTAGCACTGAAACTTCCAGTTCTCTATCAGTATTATGAAAATCTGATAAAAATGTTACTAAAAATGGTGAAACAAAGAGCAAAAAGGTGTATTTAATGCACTGTTTAAAAACCCAAACTTTTCTCATTGAACTGACTCTTGTTGGTGATGATTCCAGACATGAACTGTTAGTAATGTATTTGGTAATTAATTTGCCCATTGAAGAAATAATTGTTTGACTACCAAACTTGATCTCCTTTATTTTCTTTCCTGAAGCAAAGGGATCCTGAAGATGTGATACAACAATTAGAATCTCAGACATTTCTCATGACTTATCTGAGAGCCAAGGTGAGAGTCAGGTATTTGCTGTTCCAGATAGAACTCAGTGTTGAGGACTTGTTTGATTTCCAAAGTGAAATGTTTCCTGATCCATACCAGTTAGTGTTTTGGGACTGGATGTGGTTATGGTTGTAAAACTGTAGGACTTGCTTTGAAAACTCTTAGAGTGAGTTCAGTGCCAGTTTATTAAGCTGGTGCTGGTTCTTGGGAAGTAAGGGGATGTAGGCGTTTGGGAAAACTGAAGGAGTCTGGCTGGAATCCAAGGCTGTAGCGGTGACTTTATTCCCTCAGGGCTGAATGTGTATTTACCTTTCTAAAAAGGAGCAGGGGAGGGGGAAAAGGATCAATGGGGGTTTAAATCTAATGCTCTGTGTTTATCACATGAACTCTCCTACTCATTGCTTGAAGCTCTGACCTGCTCTGAGGTTTGCATTTCTTTGTTCAGAAGATGTTAATGACTTAGATGTGGCATTGCTTTAATTGTGAATACTTTTGGGATGTAACAGGTAGAAAAAAACGTTGCTGCGCTGGAGGAAAAAGCAGAAGAAAACTTGATGGTGTTGTGCGAGGAAAAAATGAAGCTACAGGAGTGGATCTGCAAGTTGAAACGTGAGATTATGCTCAAAGAGAGAGAGAAGAGGCTCAGGGCAGAATTAGACAGACAGGTAAGCTTTAGTACCATTTGTGCCTCTCTTAGATTTAAAAAAGCTCATGTAGGAAGTAATTCTTCATCCAGAGACCATTTCTCTGCCTCTGTGGCCTGCAGAGGTGTCATTTTATGCACCTTTAAATACCTCCTTCCTGTTGAGGCATGTCCTGCTCTGTAGTAACCTGAGCTAATGCCTTTGCTGCTTTGCTGTCCCTTGTGGATGGGCAGGAAGGAGAAGTTCGAGCTGCTGGGAGGGGGCAGCAATTGCTGCCAGGGCAAGTTCCAGTTGGTGCTCAGGGGCTGAAAGAATCCAAATCCACATGAACATCCTGCACTTAAGCAATTCCAGTTATGGCTAGAGCTGAGACCATAGAATCACAGAATCAACGAGGTTGGAAAAGATCTCAAAGACCATCAAGTCCAACCCTACCGTGGTTACCAGACCATGGCCCTAAGTGCCACATCCAGTCTCAGCTTGAAAACCTCCAGGGATGGTGAATCCACCACCTCCCTGGGCAGCACATCCCAATGCCTGAGCACTCTCTCTGGAAAAAATCTCTTCCTAAGATCCAACCTAACCCTCCCCTGGCAGAGCTTGAGTCTGTGCCCTCTTGTCCTGCTGCTGGTTGCCTGGGAGAAGAGACCAACCCCCACCTGACTCCAACCTCCTGTCAGGGAGTTGCAGAGGGAGAGAAGGTCTCCCCTGAGCTTCCTCTTCTCCAGGCTGAACATCCCCAGCTCCCTCAGCCTCTCCTCATGGCACTTGTGCTCCAGTCCCTTCACCAGCCTCGTTGCTCTTCTCTGGACCTGCTCCAGCACCTCAATGTCCCTCTTGATCTGAGAGGCAAACTCTGAATGAGAAGTGAACACCTGTTCTGTATGGTTCTGTATGTTTGGACTGGATGATCTTAGAGATCTCCTCCAACCTTGATGGTTCTGTGATTCTGTATCTGTCTCATTCGTGTGTCAGCCAGCAGTAGTTCTGGTCTGGTTGTAAGAAGACAGGTTTCTAGGGAATAATTAATGTTTGAATAATTAGTTTTCAAAACTGAATCTCCCTTTGCTTATTAACAGATAGGCATTGCAAAACTCAAGCAAGGCTTTTGTAAAACACACTTGTGAACAACAGTGAGAGCATCTGATGTAAAGCCCTTTGCTTAGTGTGTTGCTGATACCTCTGAGCCTCAGGACCAGGGAAACTGGTATTGACCTGGGCATTTTGAGGTGGTAACAGATTGTATTATACCACAAACTTCTGGAGTTCCCTTGTCAGTGAGCACTTCAGAGTGATATTGGGGTTTTTTATAAGTGATTTTTCTGTGCTGAGCCAGGTCTGTAGTTACAAACCAGCTGCTTTATCTTGTGTCTCCTTCAGGTGGATGTGCTGACTCCCATTGTTGCTCTCTGTGCAAACTTTAAAGAGCAGTATGAAAACTTTGCAGCTTCCCTGGAGGCTACCAGACATGAACTAGCCATAAAGAATATTCACATAGAAGGAGATAAACTGGAATACCTTGGTATGGAAACATGATTTCTAAAATTTACTTTCAGAAACTGTGGGGATTTTGTTATGCTAAAAAAAGTTCTTACATTGTTACTGCTAAATCTGTGTGTGGCCACTGGAGGAATGTGGGGTGCTCTTAGAGCCTGGGTGGGCACTGGGCTGCAGCATTAGTCACACCTTGGGCTCTGTGCAGTTCTTATCTCTGTTTAACCACCAAACTGCACTGGAACAAGTGGGATTTTTTATCTTGCAGCAGGGAAAAAAATTAACTTTCTAACCTAGGTCAGTCTTCATATACACCTGCTGTAGCAAGTCCCTCTATATTGTAGCTGTACTCATGACATTCCTCCTCCTTTCTTGCTCCTAATGTGTAAACAAGTTGTAGAAATACTGTAATCCCTCCTTCTTTGAGGGATAGAGTCATTATTTCTTCTATTATTGGGTGTTGTTTTGGATCGGAGAACGTTTAATAAATCAGTACTTGTATTTTATATTGAAGTCTGGGCAAAAAGTTACCTTCTATTATTGGGTGTTGTTTTGGATCAGAGAATGTTTAATAAATCAGTACCTGTATTTTGTATTGAAGTCTGGGCAAAAAGTTATGTTTTTAAACTGCTGCTCTGCAAGAAATGAGATTCTTAAACCATTTACAATCATCTTTTTTTACACTTCTAAGCAAATGGAATAAATTTATTGGAGAACTTAGAGTTCTTGTAGGAAGACTAGAAAGGAATAGGTCCATTTTTGGGGTTTGTGAATGTGGAAGGAAGTGACTGGATAAATTTCCTGGTGGGGCTACATGCCAACAGCAGTATATGTAGCTGGCCAGGGAATTTTGGATGTTTAGAGCTTGTTTTTTCTCTCACATTTGTCCTATAAAAATCTATGACATACTTTTAATGACAGCTCAGTTAGCAGTTTTAATAGCCTGTTGCTGGTGCTAGTCACAGCAGCTAAAAATAACTTGGCTTTCACAGGTGTTTTTTTTTATGGTGTGTTTGTGAAAGCTGAACAAACAGTAGTTTTTCCATCCCCTGGTTCACCTGTCTCTGGGTTACTCCAGATGTGAAGTGTTTTGTACCAGCTGGTGCCACTGCACTGTTGAGTAATCCCTCTGATTTCTCCTCTTGCAGAAAAGGTGCAAAAGGAGTTAGCTGTCACAATGGAGCTCCTGAATGATGTTCTGCCAAGTGACCCAGAAGTTAGTACAGAAGTACTTAATGATCTGAAAGAGCTAAAAGTATCATCTCAGAAACTGAATAAAGAGCTTCAAAGGTAATTACAACACTAACTGCTCAAAGACAAATCTATAGCTCTCACCAGAACATAGACTGGAGGAGGATTAACTGTGAGGGGTTTGGTAGCACTGAGTTAATTCTGTTCCTGTTTCTGTCCCTGTCCTACCTACAGTCAAAGGAAGGATGTTTGGGGTTTTTGGTTTGTGTGTTGTAAGTGAACTCCTTTAGTGTGCCTTTCTGCCACTGCAGCTGAGAATTTCAGTGAGCAAGAGCAGCCCTGGTGAAGGGCAAATATGTATGAGTGGAGAGCTCCAGGAGACAGAGAAGTAAGCTGGAAACACTCTATCTTAACCACCCTGCAAATATATCTTCCTTGAGGAGGTACAAGGAGCCTAGAAAAAGTTCTTTTCTCCTCAAGTATTGTGTCAGCAAATAGAAAGTACCACTGAGAGTGTTCAACCCTGGCAATATTCATTCCAGGTTGGATGAGCCTTGAGCAACCTGCTCTGGTGGGAGGTGTCCCTGCCCAGGGCAGGGGTTGGGGCTGGATCATCTCTAAGCTCCATTCCAAGCCCTGAACAGTCTATGATTCTGTGAGTGTGAGGAAGAGATAAAGCATGGCAAATGTCCTTTCCTTCCTGCACTGCCCCAGGAGAGATTACAGCTAAAATCTTTGAAGATTGGCAGACTATAAAGCCAGGCATCTCCCCCTCCTACACACTACCCCTGCTCCCCCCCAGACTCTTGACTTTGGGAAGAAAATTCATACTGTACACTTTTTCTCTAATTCTGGTGGGGACATAGAAGGAGAAAGAGGCCAATGTCCAGGCAAATAGCTTTTGGGCTTAAGCAGAAGTTCTTGTCCTTCTTCAGAGTCACTGATGTAGCTTCACTTGTTGCAGGAGTGTCACAGGAGTGCAGACCCTGTCAGCTGAAGTCAGTAAAGAAGTTTCTCTGCATAACCAATGTGTCTGTGAGGAGCATCATGGACTGGATGTTGTGAAGCACTGGTATTTCAACTGAGCTCCCCTGTCAGTGTGCTGTGGGTAGGTACTGACTCAGTGCCTGCAGACTTGGTAGACTTCTATGTGAGCACACAGCTCCCCCAGATCTTCAGTCACACTGGAATCTGAAGCCAGCACCGTGTTGCCATTCCGTGTGCTCTCCCGTGGGGAGACATTGTGGCTCTCTCTCCATGGATTTCTGTGACAACTTCTTCCTCACTTTTGTGCCTTGACTACACTGAAAGGTAAAAAAAAAAAAAATAAGAACTGGTATTCCTGGCAAATATGAGCTATGTGTTAGTGTACAGCAAGGTTGTTGGTCACTCACCAGAAGTGAACAACTTCTGCAGGAGCTCTGAATTGCCCCATGTTTCTGAATTTGCTGAGGAAAAAAACTGTGTGTGTGGCAGGTAACGAGGCTGGTGGTGGAAAGGAGCCTTGGAAGGTCACTTGTAACGAGTGAGAAGTTTTGGTGACTTGTTGCCTAATTGCCTTGTAAACAAACAATTTAAAACAGAAATGCTTTTGTATGAACCTGACCCTTTAGAGACTTTATTTAATAATAAAGACTGTTTTTTACTGCTGTATCAAAAGCTTTCCTGTCTGAATAGCTGCACTGATTTCCTGCAGCAGCTGTTGTTTCCTTTTGGGCCTACCTAGGGCTAATGTTACACAGCCCAGTGATGGACTTACAGGCACTGCCTGGTCCCAGTGGAGAGCCATGAGGCACTGGCACACGAGGTGCTGAGGACAGAGGATTGTCAATGTGGAGAGAAACTGCAAACCTAATGCATTACCAAGTGAGTGGCCATGAACTTAATGCCAAATCTGGCATATTTCTTCAACATCTTCTCCTTTTTTGTACATGGCATGTGTTTTCCTCTGAAAGACATGCTCTGTCCTGTATTTTTTCACCTGTGGAACCTCCTGATGTGATGGTTTTTCAGAAGCTTTGCTTTGTATTGTGTTCAGAGTGGCACATTTCTGGCTGAAGCTGTGTGTGTAAGGCTTTTTACCCTGCTCAGAGAATACTCCAAGTATACTTGGAGTATTCTCCTTGCATTCCTTCAAGTGCTGTTCAGGTATTACTAAGGGTCTAACTAGATTCTTGTCTCCTTATATTAAAAATTAGGAGTAAATCAAGTAGTTGGATCACTAGATGTGCTGTGCACTGGATGAGAAGCCAATACCTAACAAACCCTTCAGACCCTCCTTGTGTGTAATGTTAGTGTCACGGTTTTAGCAGCAACTTATCCGTGTGCCAGCGTTATCCTAGGAACATCTGGACGATCTGCACTGGTAGTTGAGCTGTGTGTGCTGCAGGCAGCTGGATCCTGCTCTGGGTCGGGAGCAGGAGCTGCATCCATGGAGTTGGCCACTGGATGGGGAACTTTGCTCGGCAGACAAGTCCTAGGGTAGCTGCAAATGAGTAGTCTGGTTGCTTTTGGTGGATGGAGACGTGGGTAGAAAGGCTCTATATGTTTTTCCTAGGTTTGGGTGATTGTGTGTCCTCATGCCTTAACCTCCTTGTGATCAGTGGGTCATTCTCAGACTCAAAGAAGGGTTATCTTAAATATGAGAGGAGGGAGGAAATTAAAATCTGTGTTAGAGTGTCTTGATGGCAGTGTCTCTGCACAGACACCTCAGAATGTCTCCTAGGATTCCTTGACGGCCTGAAAAGATACTTTTCTTTAAGAAATACTTTTAAATCAAACCCATTCTTTTCAGCCAAGTGACTCTGTACCACTGAGATACTGCTGGGTGTGCCTATGCACTCGCGTGTTACTTAAGCAACTGGCAGCAGGGCGAGTTTCCACTCTGCAAGGAGTGGAGCTGTGAGCTCTGTGCCTGGAGCAGTGCGAGCTCGCGGTGCAGGGCTCTGTCCCCGGGGCAGTAGTTCACTCTGGCTGCTGCAGGCGGCACTCATTAGCCTTGCACAAGCCCGAGGCAAAGGGCAGTCCTGGAGCAGGAGCCAAACTGCTCGTCCGGAACAATACCGTGCCCGGGGATGTGCTCTCATTGTTTCAGAAGACTCAGAGGCATTAATTTGAGCGTTCTGGCCATTCTTTTCCTTAAGCTGAACACTTGTGTCGTTCTGTGTGCAAACGGTAGAACAAGTGTTAGCTAAAGCAGCTCAACCTCTCCAGCAAAGGGTTTTCAACTGGTTTGAACTGAGAATTTTTCCATCTTGATTCTCCTGACTATTCTTTCGAAGTGGTTCTCTTAAGGCTCTTTGGTGAAGTGTTTTAGGCTCCTCTGCCTTGAAACAGCCACAGAGTTGGATGCTGTCATTTCACACTGTACAAACAACAACAACAAAGAACTGCAGAATCACTGGAGCAGGAGCTAAACAGATGTGACACCACTTTGTATTTTCCACTTATTTTCTGACAATGTCACATGCTCTAAATCAGTTGGAATCCTAAACAAATTAAGGGCTATTTTTCATTCAGGTTATGAATTATTTTTTTCCTCCCCCTAAAATTAATAATGTTTTCCCTTCTGTGACTTGTAGCAATGTAGATTTTGTTTTGTTTTGGCTGAACTTGTGCAGTACTTATTACCTATTTATTCATCTTTTAGGCCAGAAGTTCTTCATGACCAGTTGTTAACGCTCATATGTCCTAAGGTGGTTTTTTTGAGGGGAGGGAAGGCTTTTTTCTTCCTCTCTTCCAAAAGCTGGAAGCAGTTGTGCAATGAGCCAGGTGGGTCTGAGAGCCTGAGTGCAAGGGGCAGCCTAGAAATGGAAGTATTTGTCCCCTGCAAAGTTGTCTAACTAGATCAGCAAAACTTTTCAACTGCAGATGGCCTTGGCTGGATCCTGATTTCTTGGGGAGCTCTGCCCACATTCCCTTTGGTTTCTCTGATGTTACCACTCTGACCACCAGCTCAGGAGGGCTGAGTTAAGGCATTTTTGGTTGTAATTCCTGTGCTCCCTGTGCTGGGGTCAAGGTAAGGCAGCAGCATCCCTGTCCCTGTGCTCTGTGCTGGAGAAGATCGAGGCCCAACCCCACAACTCTTTGTTCACACGAGCTGCAAATGGAGCTGATTCTGTGCTCATCAACAGCAAGTAAGCAGCTCATGACCCCAGCAGATGTTTCTGCATTTTAGGCTAATGAGAACTTATTGGATTACTGCAGTCTTCCCTGCCTGGAGTAAATACCACTTTGTTGGAGATCCGGAAATTCATCCTGAATATGATAAACAAACTGCTGGCTGAGCTGGGATTGCCAGGACATGAAAAGAGTTCCAGAGAGGCAGAAGATCTAACAGCTCTGAAATGCACCACTGAGCCACACCAATTAAGAGCATTTCCAGTGATTATGTGAGCATTCCTGTTCAACTCACAGCAATGAGTTCAGGTTGTTTCTTCCGCTGCATTTGTGTGTGGGCTGGAAAGCAGAGCACGAGGTTTGCAGGGGGAGCTCAGATGCCTCTGACCAGCTTCTCTTCAAATCATTCTGTGACAATGTATATGCAGGGCCTAGTGAGGCTCCTGCCAGTGTGTTTTTAGTGTTAGGGCAGCAAGCACAACTTGCCTCTTCAGACATAACTGATGTTTTTATTGCTATAGATGATGTGTGTTTGGGCATGGCCTGTAGGATAGCGTAGAATGAACCAGGTTGGAAAAGACCTCCAAGATCATCGAGTCCAACCCTACCGTGGTTACTAATACCATGACACTAAGTGCCACATCCAGTCTCAGCTTGAAAACCTCCAGGGATGGTGAATCCACCACCTCCCTGGGCAGCACATTCCAATGCCTGAGCACTCTCTCTGTACAAACTCTCTTCCTAAGATCCAACCTAACCCTCCCCTGGCAGAGCTTGAGTCTGTGCCCTCTTGTCCTGCTGCTGTTGCCTGGGAGAAGAGACCAACCCCCACCTGACTCCAACCTCCTGTCAGGGAGTTGCAGAGGGTGATAAGGTCTCCCCTGAGCCTCCTCTTCTCCAGGCTGAACCCCCCCAGCTCCCTCAGCCTCTCCTCATGGCACTTGTGCTCCAGTCCCTTCACCAGCCTCGTTGCTATTCTCTGGACCTGGTCCAGCCCCTCCATGTCCCTCCTGAGCTGAGGGGCCCAGAACTGACCACACTGTTCCTGATACCAAACCTTAATTTGTTTGTTATCTACTGCCTAGGGGAGGTAACTCCACTGGTCAGACTTCTATTGCACAAATGGTGTGGAGGTGAGAAGAAAACTGAGGTTATTTCTGACTGACTGATGACAGCCACTTGTGATCAGCACAGTGCTCTTCCTTCTGCACCATGTGAATGATTTCTGAGCACTATTTCAGTCACTGTCAGGGATGAAAATGTTTTCTTCCTGTGGAAACTCAGGCTTTCCACTTGTATAGAGGAATAATAACCATTTTTGACAGAACTCTGTAACAATGATGTTCTCAGTATCATTATCCTGTTGCATGCTATTCAGAATGCATTCTAATTTTACATGTGCTCTTTAGTTATCCTTTCCATATTTTGTTCTAGGGATGCCTGGGTTGCTGGGAGGCAGGATCAGCCTGGTTTCTCCCACTCTGGTGTAGTCTCTGTTGAGACATTTCCCTCAGTGCCTGCAGGAGTGTGGCAAAGCCTGGGGATAGTTGTGCAGTTATCAGTTTCTGCATTTGCTCTCTCTGTTTGGCTGTCACAGAAACACAAAGGGAGAACAAAACTGGGAGTTAAGGATTGGGTGTGGCTCCTTAGCATGAGTATAATACTGTACAAATTAACTAAGGCCTTATTCTTGTCTGGTGGTCTGAAATGACTGGGATGAATGGTTTTCCACTGGGAAGGGGGGGACAAATGATTCTGGAAGCTGATGACTTGTCCATTGTTTCTTCATTTTTCACCCATCTTCTCCTGGAATCTACAGGGCTTAAACCCAAATCATTGACAGCCGTGGGTTCAGTACAGCATTTTTCTTGTGTGCACAGTTCACACAGGTATTCTCCAAATCTTTGAGTATTACCTTTCAAACCTCTAGATCTGATCACCTGTGTGACAAGTTAGTGACAACACT